AAAAAAAACCAATCTCTGCCCCGGAGCTAAAGTTGGTTTGTAGCAGATGAGCAAAAATTAGAAATTTCTGCATTCCCACAAAACTGCTGGGACGTGGGAAGAGAATGGTGAAAGACTTCGAGAGGCGGAACATTAATTTACAAATAATCGCAAATATAACTTAAGCAGCATTATGAGCTGCCATAACAGTACCGCAATCAATACATTCTTACATAGTAATCGAGGGGAAATGTGCACACAGGTGGAACAATGAATCACCTACACAGACATATAAAAACGTAAAAATCTTAACCGGCTTGAAAAATATTCAAATACGAAAGAGACAGTTCTGCAAAGAAGCCGTAATTCACACACTCATTTTTTATTAAATAACTTGTAAAGCGAAGCGTCCAGGTTCAGTCGGAAACAGGCTGATCAATGAGGCCTTCCAACAAAATGAATAAACGGGAGAGTGGTGAATAAACCAATTCCTCTCCAGAAAGGAATCACTCTTCGCAATTCCTGCCCCCCCCCCCCTCCTACTCTCCAACTCTTCAACATAGCGATTTCTCCCCTTCGTTTGCACAATAAAGTATTTCTCGACGCAGCTTCTGGACTCATCTGCATGCTTTTTACGTAGTCATATTTCCCAGCCCATTTTGATGCCAGTTTGAGCATTTCGAATCCCTCCACCCGCCCATACTCCACTTTTTGCATTTCTGATATCCAGACAGATGATTGTGGTAAATCCACCGTACACAGAGGAAGCCGGCCACATTTCCCCATTCCTCAACTCCCTGCCGTCGCCCTGGACACGTCTTTTTCATAAATTTTTTAGAAAAAAAAAGAAAATGGAGAAAAACAAAATCAGAAGTCCCTATATACAAAATATTTCGTAACTAGCAACTCCCTCATATTTTATTCGCTAGAAAGATGTAAAAAAAGTTAATCCGCAATGATAACACTTTTATCAAAAGTAACACCTGCTGCCGAAGCTGCCTCACTCCCCACAAAAAAAAAAAACGGTCAAATCTGACTCCCAAGCATGCTAGACATGTTTTTGTAAAAGTTTCTCGACAAAATAAGACACAGGGTTGTGCAGAGTTTGTTTCGCAACTAAATAACCTCAGTTCACTTCGGCATGGCCAGAGTATAATCGGGCCGCACATCGCCGACTGAATGATCAATAACCGGATGAAAAGAAACAAAAATATGTTAATTTCTTCTCGACCTGAACCAGATCAAAGATAATGCCGAACAAACTGTGGAGAAATTCAAGCAAAAAAAATCTCCAATAGCTAAGAATAACAGTAATCTGATCCGAAAAAGGAACATAACCAGATTGGCACAAACGATATGTGAAGAACCGGTGAATTCAAACAGAACTTTGACTATTCCACAGAAGTCGCTGCGACGCTTCGACTCCTCCGCAAAAACAGCCGCCAGGCTTCCAGCATTTCGGAGAAATCAAAGAAGACGGCGATGAATCACCACGAGTGGAGCTTTCGATGATAGTGAGGCGCTTCGAGACAGCGTGACCACGCATAACCGGCCTCCATAATTATTACGTAAGGAAAATGATAAATATAATGAAGAAGAAAATGAGTACACCGAAAACCTTGATAATCAACCAGCGATTCTGGGATATCGAATGGAAATATTTGACGAGCTCCGTGTGAGCTGCTTCCACATTCAATGAAGTTTCGTCAACATTCGAGTCGATTCGTGTGATCATTTCGCCTTGCTCTGTGATTAACGACGCCAGCTGCAAAGTGCCAAACGGACAACTTAAAAGGCCAATTAAAAAAAAAAAAAAAAGTGAAAAATAGAACGACCTACAAAGCTCGCATTCTCAGCCCAGTTTGCACGCCCGTTCAATTTCGATGCCTCTCGGCACTTCTGATTAAAATTTGCATTCCTTCAACTAAATTTTGCCCCCAGTTAGCTAGATTCTCCGGTGCATGACTCAGTATTTCGCATCTTTCCTCTATGCATGATCTGCATTCCATCAAAGAATGTCACTGAAGAGATGGTACCAGTTTCTTTCGCTTTCTTGCGCACATTCCTACTCTGCTCAGCTGTAATATAAAATTTTGCAACAATTGCCGAGCCCTTAATCTTTACTACACTCTTTAAGCCTAGCCGTAACTCATAAATTACTGCAAAAAACTATAGAGCACCAGAAAATGAGACTAAGCATGACTGAAACTCGAAAAAAAATGGCTCATACAATGCGTGCACAAAAGTTGAGCACCAAATGAATAGCGCACCACAGACGAGCAGTTATTATTTGATCAGGACGATCGTGGAGGCCCAAAATACTTTGACAGCGAGAAGCAGCACTCTCCAGCATTAACACAAATTATCAATGACATTCTCTGCTGTGGATATTTCTCGAATTTTGTTCGGTCCCTCCTCCACAAATGCGTTGTTAACGCCTGCTGGAACGGGAAAAAAGACACTTTTTTGATTACCTGACGAAAAATCTGTCCCAATTCAGATATACTGCTTTCGATGTTTTCCATTGTGCTTGAGCGCGCCTGCAGGTACGAATCCTGCTCATTAATCAGAGAGACCTGAACAGACTTCAAATTTATCAATGGAAACGAATGTTTGGGACCGTTGTTAGGCAAAACGTACAAAAATAAGAAAAGCATACCTGCTGCTGAAGCCTTTGCTGCTCCAGTGTATTTATGTCAACTGCCACGGACGACGATGCATTCATTTCGTCCTGCCGCAAGAATGAGCCCACTAAAAACGGCTTAATTATTCATTAACAGAAAGAAATGAGAAAACCCTAATATGTATGTACAAGACCGTGCATTCCCCTCATTCCTCACTGTTGCTGAATAATTAGGCCGCTTTTTCACTGCTGATAAATAAATGATTGCTTCATTCACTGACTAACGAAAAATACCTTTTTCCCGAAAAGCTAGACTCCAGACGAAAATAATTCCATTCATTCAATCTGTACAGCGACCTCAAGAGATAACTGGGAAGCATAGGTTCTCGCATAGCTTTTTTGCAAAAAAACTTCCTTATTTTTATGCGTTTTGTGCTGTGTAACAGCAATACAAACCGCATATTGTTACGGTTTTGTGTGTGCGTGTGTGCCCGCAGCAACTTATCCGCAACTTTCAACGTGGGAATCATAAAAGCTAGGAAGCTGAAAATTTGGGGGAACGTTCCCAACCCACATGCGACCCCGCAAATTTGAATTCATCCTCTCCGTACCCGCGGCTAACACGTACGGCCCCGTAAAAGTTCTGGCGGGTAAAATTATTATCATGAGAACCATGGAAGCTAGAAAGCTGAAATTTTAGGGTAGTGATTCCCTGCCCACGTACGACCTTGCAAATCCGAATTCAGCATACCCCCGCTCTCGGATATTAGCTATGGCCCCGTGGAAATTTTGGTGGGTAAATTACTATCTCGGGATCCACGAAAGTTCGGAATCTGAAATTTTATGCAATGTGTCCTATCAAAGTAAGACCCCCATAAATTTGGATTCAGCCTTCACGGGCTCATGGATACCACGTACGATCATGCGAAATTTTTGGCAGGAAAACTGTCTCGTGAGCTGCAAAAGCTGGGAAGCTGAAATTTTAGCGTGGCAACTTCTGCCCATGTGCAATTCCGCAAATTTTCAACGTCCCTGTGGAAGTTTTGACGAGAAAAATCATCTCGGAAGCCAGAAGAGTTAGGAGACTGAAAATTTCAGAAGAATGTTTCCTGTCTAAGCAGGGGCTTCACAAACTCGAAGTCAGTTCCTCAGTATGCCAAGGTTTCACTTACGATCATTTGAAATTTTTATTCCAAAGATCATTCGAAAGCCAGAAAATTAGGATATTAAAATTTTGGAAGGATATTCACCCTTCGAGGTTTCAAATTCAGCTTTCGTCTGCCGGCGCGTGAAATTTTTAACTATTTTTGCACAGACCCTTTAGTCCCCAAAGCAGTGAAAATCATTAACGGACGGTCGTTCGGTGGACGGAACTGCATAAAACGCATCGCACCGGCTAGTCTGGTGCGCGTTGCTATTTACTGTTTTCAATTACGGTCAGTCATTTTCCTACGACTTTACATACATCTGCAAAGGCAAATGAATCAACTCAAATCATTATTTAGTTCGGCTCACCGCCGACCCAAATAAAAGTTTTACGCAGAAAGACACTCAGGGATCACCCAATCCACAAAAGAAAGCATCAGACAGTTTTGTCAGGACACAAAATCTGTAGGCACTTGTTTAATAAATTTTTTAAACAGAAAAAAGACAATGATAGGATGAATAGGAAATATTAACTTACAACTTCCAGAACTGACAGATGGGGGTAGACTTGACGGCACCGGCTGACACTGACTAAATTTTTCACGACGCGACTTTTGTTGCTTCAAATTCTGAAAATGAGGCCCATTTTGTCTAAATCTTTACCAACTCCTGAGGCAAAGCTGGGTGGGATCACTTTCTCAAAAACCAATCTCACGTTAATCTTCAGTCAAACTTTACACACGTCGTGTTTTTCAAAGGAGGTAATCTGCAAAAATCGGCTGCATAGTCGAATTATGAGGGACACATTTGAGAGTCATATCGGCAAATAGCCTGCCATACTTCGCGATATCTACCCACAATGTTTCCGCTCGCACACGTCCGGCTGAAAATGACTGTAACTGCAGATACCTCAGTGCGAAGCTCCAGAACGCTTTGGAAATCCTTGCTCACACCAGCCAACTTCGACTGAAGCCCAACAACAACCAACTGGGAATGCCCGTGGCCTTGATCCCTCTTGTTTAAATCACCATTCTTTTTCGAATATTCTTGCAGCGTTGCTATCTGCCTATTCAGCCCCGTTATATCCTGGAATAACTCCAGCACAACTATTTAAAACTGCAAAAAGAGCACAGTGAAAATCACACCAGCAGCATCCGACGAGATGAGGCGTGGATAGCCAATTCAACGCAAATGTGCCCAAAGAGCCAGGCAAAGTTGCACATGAATCTGGTTGTCGCTCTGGACCGCCAGGAACTCCTTATCGATAGGAAATCCTCCTGCACTCGACACTCTCTGTTACCCGGACACTTGTAATTTGCGAACCTGTTTTATCACTTGTGACAGTTCCTCCACTTCCAACATACGATCATCAAACAAAGAGCGCCGTTTGGCCAGTTCAGTTAGCTTCTCCATTTTGGCACACGTCAAACTCAAATCTCGTCCAATGCGTCTGAAACGGCCTAAACTATAGTTTAGCAGCACAACACACGTAACAGTCCCAGCAATTTAATGAATTTAGAACCAGCATAAGCTCTGCCCTTCAACAAACTAAGAGAACGTCAGGTGAACGTGGAACATAACGAAGCACAGGAGAACCCGCGAAATAATTTCACGGAGCAAGGGAAAGGGAGAGAAAACTGCTGAGAAATCTGAATTCATCATCGGCAGCAAATGGTCTCCTCAAACCATCTCCCATCAGGTCCAGTGACTGTTCAAGCGAGATGCCGGTAAAACATCTAAGACCATTTACGCGCATGCTTCCTGCCTTAGTCAATGGTGATGCTACGCTGATTGTTGCATGGTTGTAGCATACTAGTAATAGGGCAAGACTAGAACTAACTGTGTATGTATA